CCCCTTGCCCCTACTCTGTGTGTGTGTGTGTTTGAGTAGGAGAATAGCAGATTTCATGTAAGGGTATGATAGATGCCAAGTGAAGGACTGGCCTCTTGGGTGTGTATGACTCACCTTTGATCTCCTAGGCTCCTCTCCTTGCCCATCAAGGTAGGTCTGAGGTCAGCCTTGGCTTCCAGCATCTCAGCTTCCTCTAAGATGGCCCAGGATGGGAACTTCCCACGACCTCTCCCTCCCACAAAGCAGACACTTTGTTCACCTGCTTTAGGACGACCTCTGCCCAATAGCATACCTGCCCTATGGCTTCCCTCTGGCCTAAGGACGCAGCAAAGAACTGGGAACCAAACCACTTAGCTAGAAGCTGGAGAGGAAGGAGATCCATCCCACACAGCTAGAGAGGTAATTTTGGACCACCACACTTCAGAGCCTGTGTGTAACCCTACAGACACAAACTCTGAAGATCAGATCTCCTTGGTCGGGCCAGTTGTGCCTCCTGGTGTGACCTTGCTCCCACATCAATGTTCAGAGTTGATTCTCTGCCTGGAAACCTCAGCCTTCCTGGCCTCTGGCCTCCAGTCCTCCAGCTAGCCAGGATCTTCACTGGGGTCCAGCTCACAGAGACAAGACCAACTCTTGGATTTCCTAGCCTGGGCAGCAGCCACACCTGACCAAAGAACCCAGCTCATTTCAGAGGACTGGGAGGAGAGGAACAGGGTCCAGCCTGGGGGAGGTTGAGAGAGCAGAGGAGAGGAAAAAAGCATGGGTCACAAGCAAGAAAGGAACTGGGTTTGGACACACGTAACTGAGAGAGACCAAGGGCAGGAGGCCCTGGTGAGGATGGAAGCCCAAAAGCAGATCCAGGAAGATGAATACCAACAGTTAACAAACCACAGCAACTCGCTCCTCCCAAACTAGTCTGGCACAGCCCACTCCTATTCTCATCTCCTTCCCACAGAACCCTGGCCAGGCTCCTTTTGCTGCCAAACCATATTGCCCATTGACTGAATTCCACTTAAAACCAGAGAAAGGAAAGGGATTTGGTGGTCACAGAGGGCCACCTCCTACTCAGGCAAGAATCCTCATCCAGGATCCTTGCAGCTGCTTTGCACACAACCTCCAAGGATTCCCAGTGTATGAGTACTATCTCCCCAACTAGACCACAGGCTCCCAGAGGGAGGGCAGGGGCCAGAGCCCTACCTTTGTCTGCCACTCTCCCCAGGGGCCTGGGAGGCCAGCACTGTGCTGACCACTGGAAGGCTCAGTGAGTGGGTCAGTTGCATTACAGCCTATCCAAAAGCAACTCTGATTCACAAGAGATGTTAGCCCAGCGTGTTTATCTAGCCCAGCAGCAGTTTCGAGGGGCAGGCATCTGAAACCCAAGTAGGTCAATATTTACCCATGAGCTAGAAAAGCAACCTGCTGCAAGAGGGGGCAGGCAAACCCCGATGGGGGGGAGGGGGCACTCACCAGCTGGGAAAGCAGGGCCTGGGAAACAGGAGGACTAATGCAGAGAGCAGGGAAGCTGCACACCTCTCTACCTTTTCCCAAGTCAACTGTCATCAGCATTACTATGTTATCGTTCCTCAAGAAGCCCCTAGTATTTGGAGCCTCTCATATTCAAACAGTCCCCTTATTCATAATAATCCAAAGCAACAACTTGGGAATTGACAAAGACTCGAAATGAGAATCGCTGCTGGAGATTGGTGGAACATTGGGTATTATCTTTTCTACTCTGAGCACTGCATCTGTTATCATCTTATTCTCCAACACGGGGTGATGTCGGGTCACATTCTCCAGGGGAGCTGGCTGTGCCTCCCACTGTGATCAACAGCCTCCTTTCCCTTCTGGGAAGCCAGGCCTGTCCTGAACCAAAATGGGCCCAGGCCTAAAAGAACACATTTGCTCCCAGAATGTAAGAGGCCTCAGGCTCAAGTCTCTGGCCCTCCTCAGCCCGACTCAACCAGAGGAAAAGAGACACTATGTGCATAAGTCTCTGCCACCACAGGAAGAAATAAAGAACTATGGGGTGTGAAAGGAAGGAAGTGCCCAGAGGACAAGCCACACCACTTCCTGCACTCACATAGTGCCTGGTACACAGTGGACACGTGGAAATTATTTTCTGAATTATTCATGCCTCTCCTTAAGACCACTATAGGCTGGGGGCAAGAGATAATCATGATGCAGTTAGAGAAAAGAATTACACTGTGTTACAAAGAGTGCGTGTTGGAGCTGCCCATGGAGAGTGGATTCCTATGAACTGCGACTGCGTGGGGTGAGCCCTTACGGGATGGAGTGGATGGGGCATTGCTGGCACAGGGAGACAGATGCACTCGGGACAGTGATAGACCCGGCAGAGGGTAAGGGTGGAGGGGCAGGGTGGGCCCAAGAAAGTGTAACAGTCAAGAAGCCGCTCCCTTGGAGCGAGGATTAGGACGAGAGCTTGTTTAGGTTTCTGAGCCAAGGGCGACCCCAGGGAGTGGCTTCAGGATAATTTCTCTGTTGGTGGTAGACTGGCATGGATATAAGTGAGAAAACTCAGGGCAGAGAGGCCAGGCAGAAGGAGTAAAGCGCCACCAGCAAGGGTGTGAGGAGTCTGTCAGGCTGAGGGGAAGCGGAGAGCGAGAGAGGAAGAATGGGTGAGAAAGCCACTTGCTAGTGAGCGCTGCCAACGGTCTGCAGGGGTTCAGGATACTCAGCCACAGGGAGGGGGCAGCAGTGCTACTGTTGGCTGGTGGAGGGTGGCAGTTACCAGCAAGTTTGTGACAGATGGCTACCCTCTGTTTAGAATATCCCTTCTTCATCACTCAAACCTCCTCTTGGGTTTTTCCAGGCCAAATATCCTTGGTTCCTCTGAAAATGAAGCTCTTAAGAGCCTCCCTGTCCAGACTCTGTCTCCCCTCTCTCTCGGTTAGGGCTTGAGAAACCCTGTCCCAGTAGTAGTCAGATGGACCCAGGCAGGGACCAGGTATAGCAACTCCTTGGGTCAGCACTCACCTGAACTCAGGGGCTTAGAGGAGGACTGTGTTGCAGCCCTGGGGTTTTTCAACCTGCCTCTGACACTCACCAGCTGAATGATTGAAGGCTGAGGTCATGACCTTTCTGACCCTCTGCTTCCTCATCTGCAAAGTGGTGACAATAATATGTACCCCAATCTTAGCTAAGGGATGTGACATACTATAAATAAAGTGCTTAGCACAATACCAACACATACGAAATGCTCACTAAATAAGAGCTATTATTGATGTAGCCTACGTGTCCATAGCTTGTTTTTTTTAGCAGTCAGATGCCAAGAACTACACAATACTTGTGGTCAATAAAGCCTCTTGGATATTTTCACAAAATACACCACCAAGCAAGTTCTTCCTTGTTTCAAATTTGTGCCCTGAATTGTTTCTAAACTAAATACAGAACTTTACATGGGCCTTCCATGAACTGCGTGTTGTTGGCTTCCATCAGGTACCATGGGTTGTACCTCCTGACAGTAATAGCAGCTGCCACTCAATGGGCACACGCTCTGAACCAAGCACTGTGCTGCTAGGTGTTTGTTCACCTTATCTCATTTAATCCTCACAACAATCCACTGAGGACAGTACCATTATCCCAGTTCATAAGAAACAGAAGCTCAGAGGGGTTAAATCACTGTCCAAGGTTACAGAGCCAGTAAATAGAAGATCTGAGAGTTGAACCAACATAGACTCCAAGGATCAGATTCTTAACCCCTCTGATAAACTGAATGGAGGTGAACAAACCAGCAGACTCATAGACACGGAGAATGGACTAGTAGTTACCAAGGTGGGTGGGTGGGGGGTTGGGACACATGCAGTGGGGAGGGGAAGGGAGACCAAGGGGCACAGTAATTCACAATCACAATATAAGTTGAACACAGGGACTGTTGACCCACTGTAATGTACATTTGAAACCAACATAAGATTGTATATTAATGATACTTTAATAAAAATAAATAAATAAAAATAAACTGAATGCAGGTAAAGAGAGGTTAAGTGCCTCAGCTGGCTGGATAAAGACTCATCAGACATTTTGATGCAGCCAACTTAACTTGTGTGTGTGAGAGAGGCCTGTGATTCAACACTCACATTCTTTGGACAGTGCATGAGAGAGAACCATGTACCAGATGAGTGAATTCCAGTCATTACCCAGTTAATTTCCATCTTTCCCAACCCTATTTTGTTCCTACTCTATACCCCATACCCATCACCATGTCTGACACAAAGTAAATGCCCAAGAAATACTTGTTGATTGAATGAATCAGAGAAGAGGAGAAGGGAAAGGAAGAAGGACCAGGTAGGGAAGGGGGATAGGAAGAAGGAAGGGAAAGAGCTGGGGATAAAGAAATGGGCAGGAGGGAAAGAAGCAGAGGGAAGGGGCTAAGAGATTTATCAGCGAGATCAGTGAAAGTGTACCTTCCCCAGGCTATGTAAGATCCACTATTTGCCTCAGATAAATCTGTGAGAGTCCCAAGTTTTCCAGTACCCCTCACTAAATTATCCTGGTGCCAGCCTTCATTTCAGGAATTTCCTCTTCTCCCCCAAGTGCTGGGGGCCAGCTCGAAGCCCACCCCAGAGCCCTGCCTGATCCCTTGCCCTGCTTGCTGGGAAGTGGGCTGTGGGCACTCTCCCATTCTCAGAGTCTTCTTCAGTTTCCTGGCATTGCCTAAGCTCAGCACAACCTTCCTGCCCCGCTTCCTCTTCCTGCCTCCAGTTGAAGAGGCCATCCAGGCATCACCACCCCTAGCCAGGCCACATTTATCACACCTCTGCCAGCTTCCCCTCAGCAGAATTTTAAAGCGCCCAGCCTGCTTACTGCCAGGCTAATCTTCCCAGGAGTCCCTGGGGAAGGCAGAAAGCAACTGGCACCACCTGTTCCTGACACCTTTGCCTTGACGTTGGCAAATGTGGGCAGAGGCCAGAGTCTGCAGCAAGAGTGAGAGGATGACTCAACTCGGGAATGTGTCCCTCGGTAGGGGTTAGGAGGGAGTCAGGCCTATGGCACACTCTGATTACTTCAGTGGAAGGAGCCTGCTCCCCAACACCACACTATGCGGCTGGATTGCTCCCACCATGTCATCTGCTCAGGTTTCCAACTTTTAGGCCAGACTTGGCTGCTTACAGCTCCAGGAAGAGCTGAAGAGGTCATCACATTACCTACCCTTCGGGAGCAGGGTCTGAGTGCCAGGTAGGTCTCTGCCATTGTCATTTCCTTTAACCTCTCAAGGACCCAGCAAGGCAGGTATTGCTGACTCCACTTCAGAGATGCGGAAAAGGAGGCTCCGGGAGGTTAAGTGACTTGCCTCGGGTTACAGAGCTGGTAAGTGGCACCAGGCTCTGAGCTCCCAGCAATGATTTCACTTAATTAAGTCGGCGGCCAAAGTCCCGCGCGCCTGGCGCGGGGAGTAGAGGGTCTGGCCTGGTCCTGCCCCTGGCCCGGCCACCTCGCCGGAGGACCCCCGCCCTCGGACTTGAGACTCGGCCTGGGACCCCTCGCGCTCGCCCTCTGCCCCGCGCCCCGCCGGCCCCGCCACTCCCCGGGCCTCACCATCGCCGCTGCTGCCGCCTGGCCTGCCCCGGCTCCTCTGCCGCCCAGCGGCCGCCGTGCCCAGGACCCGGAGGAAAGCGGAGGGGCTGGGCGGGGCCGACCGGCCGGCGCGGCGGGGGCGGGGGGCGCGCCTTCCCCGAGCGGCCTCAGAGCCCAAGTCAAAGCGAAAACAGGCGGTAACCGCGCCCCAAGGTACGTCGCCAGCCTCCTGCCGGGACGCCAGCGCCCAGTTTCGGACGACTCCCCAGCCTGGTGAACTGGGGGCTACGCCTGAGCAGCCTGGTGTCAGGTCTGCGCGCCGGCCACACCTCTGGGTCCCATTCAATGAAATGGGAACCCTGGAGTGGGCTCTGGAGCGGACTCAGGGAGTCCTCTCCCGTCTGCACCCAACATCAGGTAGACCGGGTTAACCTGGCGAGGCATCATTCATTCATTCAACAGGTGTATGAGCGCCACTTTCAGGCACTGGGCACAGAGCTAGGCGCTGGAGACACCAGAGCTGCAGCCGGGTCTTTATTTTCTTGGTGAATGCATCTCACCTATAACCAAATACCGACGCCCCCCAAATTTTGAAGTTAAAGAATGATTCTTCACGATAAACATTGTGAATACATTACCCACCACTGAATTGTACGTGCTTGAATGGTCAATAGTGTATATCATGTAAGTTCCACCTCAGTTACAAAAGAAAACAGACCCCAATGGAGAAGGTGCAAACTCTAGCTTTTCTATATTTCCCTCTACACCAGGAGGGCAGCCCTGCCCTGAGATGACTCTGCTCCTCAATCGGAGAAGTGAAGCCAGTGTGTCTTCTGTCCCTCTACAGTCTTTGTGAGCCAAATCTACCCATCCTCACCCTCTCCTCTTACTGCTGCAGAGAAGTCACCAGCCACCTGTTCTCATGCCACTCCCAACATCTCAGATGTGGCCCCTCTTGAGGAAGGCAGTTGAGGGTTTCCCTCCCTGGGGCTCAGCCCCTGTGAGCACTGACTCCACCCCTACCTGGACAGTCTGGGTCCAAAAGAAGAGTTTCACCACAGTTCCTTGGCCCTTGAGTCCAGTAGTAGATTGAGGAGAGAATGGACATAGCTGAGGCAGAGACTGCCCTGAGAGCATCTTCTATACTTCCCTCCTCCCTCCCCAGTTTTTGGAGCAGGATTCCAGAACCTGACTTGCCAGGGCTAGTCCCAATCTTGTCTCCCAACCCTGTGCCTGCCACAAATCCTCCCCAAACAAGTTGTTTTCATTATGGAAAGTCTATGGGGGAAACAGGGACAGAGATGACAAGAACCCTTCCCCCAAACTAAGGCAGAGGGCACTGGAAAGAGTGACAATGACAGAAACCTGGTAGGTCGGGTGGGGGGAGGCCCAAAGACATAGAGGCCCATTGTACATGGAGGGGAAGGAGGGCCATAGGCCCTGTCCTGTGACACTGACTGTGCCGAGCCAAGGGACATGGGAAAGAGATGCTTGCCCCCTCAGGACAGATGAGACCCAAAGGCCCTGCTAAGTCCTAGAAAGGGAGGGGCAAACAAAAGACAAACAGTACTTGCAGAGCCACAGGACAAGGAAAAGCAGTCCAGTTTCTTCAACTCTGCCCCCAGGCTACAACAGGGTCACAGAAGAGGGGTGGCAATAACAGGAGATGCAGGAGGCCCTTAACCAGACTCCTAAATACTCCACCCAGGCAGACTTCATGTCCCAGTTAACACTTCTGGAAAAAATAAAGGGACATGGCAAGATCCAAGGAGGACATTTAGAAGTCTTGTATACCATCCTAAAATGCTGTGAAGATTTTGAATTTTCCCTATGTCAGGCCTCCAGAAAATTCTTGTCCTTGAGACTTGTGCCAATGAATGGAACAAAGAGGAATAAAGAAAGACAAGGAGGAACCCATCTTTCTGCTCCAAACATATGCTTTCCACCTCTCCAACAACTTGGGCCTCAGGTAGGAGAATCTCAGCCAGAGGGTATCCTCAGAGAGAAGAGAAAAAGAAGGGCCAAAGGCAAAATAGAAAGGGTTACACACTTAGGGATACTGAAAGGCCTTTATTGCCCACCAGCCACTGGCAGTTTCCCAGCCACGTGCTGGGCCCTCTGGGTCTCTCCAACTAACCCCGAGGGCCTGTGAAACGCAACAACAGTCCAGTCCAGGTCTCTCCTTCTGGGGGACCAACGTGCAATCTGGGGCAGACACTGTGGGAGAGCGGCCTCAGAGTCAGGGGGGCAGGAGGACTAAGCAGCATTCCCTGTGAAGAAGGACAGGAGAGAGGGCCCCTCTTGGCACCCACCACGGAGGGTTGCCCCAACGAGGAGGGCAGGGTGGGAGGGACTCACTAAATTACTTAGTGGATGACACCAGTGGCAAAGAGCACAATGAAGAGGATGATGATAAAAACAACCACACAGATGAGGACGATCATCTTCACATTCTTCCACCAGAATTTCCGAGCCACCTTCTGTGCTGTTGTCTTGAAGTGCTCCGACTATTGGGGAGAAGGTAGAGTGACCCAGTGCCTCCTACCACTGGAACAAGAGTACAAACAGAGGCCCACAGCCATATATCTCAATATCTAAGTGATAAGTTGATGTTACCTCAGACTGTTAAACAAAAAATGTTCTGTCCTTCTACCTTGACAAACACACCTTCATAACAATCTAGTGAGCCAAGTTCAAATTCAGAATCCTTAGGTTCCCCCTGGCCCTCTGCCTGCCTGCCCCCTTCGCTTCCTGTTCCTGCACTGTCATGCCCACTGAGGGGCCTTTTACCCAGGAGTGAGACACTGGCATGATCCACCCTTGGGCAGCAGACACTGGGGCCACAGGGTACATCCTCCAGGTGGGCTCATCTCCCCGGTTCCAGACCCCTTGCTCTTTGGGGACTGCTAAAGATGGAGCAGGGACCAGGGCAGTACAGGGGTTGAAAGTGAGGGAAACTATGCTTCCTCTTGCAACTCCAGTTGCAGAAATTAAGTTTCCCCAGGCCTTTCCCTTGTTCCCCAGATTAGTGGAAAGAAACATTAAGTCCCAGGGAGACAAAGAAACTATACCCAAGATTACACACAGGACTCAGAAAGTCACAGCCCATCTCTCCCATGGACAAGGAACCATAGGCATCTATCTGCCTTTGCTGAACTTTACAATTACTCTCTCCCTAAGCAGCTGGCTTGGGCACTGGCTAAAGAGAGAGAAGAATGAAGTCTAGCAAGATGTGTGGGAGATATTATTCTAGGCTTCAGTAGCAGAGGACCCCAGGATCAAAGAATTTCACTGCTGTATCCAGCTTTTTTTTAAAGCTGATTCAGCAAAACTAGCAGTTTTCCACTCCCTGCCTAATACTTCCTGGAGAAGGCCAAAGGCGGTAGAAGGATTTTCCAGAGCCAATACTTTTACCCTGGGGAGGTCAGGTCTGAATGATTTTCAAGGGCAGCCTTTAAAGGGAAAATCAGTTTCACAGGAAAGGAGCCTAAGAGTGCCCAGGCTAACTGATCCATCCATCTGCCTCAGAAAATGCCTGCATGGGTCAGCTCCCACCCCCCAACTCCAGTCATTGGATCCATTCCCTGGACCCCAGTACCAGTCAGTGGAGTGGAGCAGAATCAGAAGTGGACACTCAATCAACTCCCAAAACAGGTAAAAAGGCAGACTTCTCTCCTTTTCATTTCATTTTGCCCCCAACACCACCAGCCTGCAACCCCCCAACAATCCCTCCCCCCTTCCTCTAACTCCCAGAGGGCTCCCCTTCTCACTGTGGCTTCTAGATCCTCTGTCTTGTTGCGGAGCTGGTCCAAGTTTTCTCCTCGAGCCAGGATCCGCTCCACATTCTGGGTCATAATATTCTTGACACCCTCTACCTCACTCTGCAGATTCCGCACACGATCATTTCCTCCACCTCCACTGGCCTCCTCCTGGGCAGCAACACAGGGTTAATTAGGCCGAGTGGTAAGAACTGAGACTCAACCTCAGAGGCCAAAGGAGGGGAAGACCTAAGGTGGCCTTTAACTTTTTGTAATGCTTGAACTGTTTACAAAGCACATGTTTTCATGTATTAAGTCATGTAATCAAAAGTAAATGCATTTTTAAGTCCCATAAAGTGAGAGCTGATGCTAGACAGACTAGACGAAACTTCTTTCCAGGTTCTCAGGGCTCCTGACAAGGAAAAGAAGCACACTACTAAATCCCTCTCCACTGCTTCCTTGCTCCTCAGAGTGGGTCAGGGAAGACAGCTGAGCTGGTATCTCACAACGCAGACCCCCACTGCTGTTCACTAATTCCCAGACCCCAGGGATCTTCGCTGACAATGTCTGGCCAGCAGAACACCCTCACCTAGCCCAACCCTCCCTCTCTCCAAGACTGGAGAGCTGTTCTACCTGACCCAGAGCAACCACAACTGGGCCTCAAGTCCCTCATGAGGCCCCATGTGAGAGCCAGAGAGCCGTTGGGCCACGAACTTCTGCTTTCCCTAGCACTTAGCACCATGTGTAGGCACCAAGTCACATCCTACGCAAGCAGATATTAAATGAAAAAAAACCCGCAGCCTGGGCGTTGGGGGAAATGGAGGGCAAGTCCTCGGGGGCTGATGCCTCATCCCCAGGCTTCATGATAAGGTTTTGAACAGGGAGGGGAAAACATTATTAAGCTCCTCCCTCCCTGACCCACTGGACCTCCTGTAAAAGTCTAGTGGGTCCAAAGTAGATCATCATAAAGAATTTATTCCCTAGTTCTTTTTACAAATTTCCAGTTCTTTTACAAACTCTTAGCTCTCTTCCTCATGTTTATGAAGATGGGGCCAACTTGGGCTGGAGAGACGAATTCTTTGAGCTTCTGTCTAGGGATAAAGTGAAAGGCAGAGCGGGAGCGCGCCTGGCGCTGGGCTGGAATCTGCTCTGGGAACAGCAGAGGCGCTGCCCAGGAATGTCACAACACCCGCCGGCGGTGGCGGGCCGGAGGAGACGACGGGCCAGTCGGCAGCTCTTTGGCTGGAATTCGGATCCCCTGCCCCCACCGAAGCCCTGCTCCGGGCCAGCGCAGAGGTCAGGGGAGGGAGGAGAGGAGGAGCAGGGACACTGCCCGGGCAGCTCAGAGCCGGCAGTCAAGTTGTCAAAGAAGAGAGGTCCCAGCGCTGCCCAGTCCTCTGACTTGGCCACCAACTCTCCTTTCCAGATCCCCAGTCCCCAGCGCCTTCTGGCTTGCCTTGAAATCAGCCCCCTCCGAGGTCCCCGCTCGCTCACCATGTCTCCCAGCGGCTCGGGCCTGTGGGCAGCAGAACTGGCCCAGGCGGCTTCCTCCGGGCGGCCCGGGCTCACTTCCTGCTCGCTCCCGCCGTCGGCCTGCCCCCGCCCACCTCGCGTCCCAGCCGCGCCTGCCGCACCTCCCGGAGGTTCCCCCAGGTAGGCGGCAGCGCCGCAGCCCTCCCCGTCTCCTCCTAAGCCTGGGCTTAGGCAGAAAGCAACCGGGTTTCCCGACACCGAGGGCCTTCTACCTCCTCAGGGACAAGAAAACAAAGATCAAACAGCCCTCCAGGGTTCCTGAGGCTGGACCTCCTGATACAGAACAGGCTTCCAGCGACTTTTTTTATGTCCCGAATGTCTGAGCCCAATTCTCGGAAACGGAAATTAACCATAAGCACGCGGCCAGGTCTACTTCTTGGGGAAACAGAGTGCAGGTGTGAACATTTCTTGTTCCCACGTCCGGGGCGGGCTGAAAACGCTAAAACCCCCAACGTCTGGAACCCTATTCCCCATGACTCTGGTGTCAGAGCTCCCTGTTACCCGCTGCAAGCCCTTGAGTGAACCTCTCTTCTCTCCCCCTTTTGCAGGTGCTAATGCTGACCTCAGGACCGTGGTGAGGAGGAAAAGGAGAGCACATGCTTTGTGTCTAGCACAGTGCCTGGAATGAAGGGTAGTCCACTGTGCAATCAGGACATAATGACTCACCAACGTCTCCTGTCCTCCCAGAGCTCAACCATCCTGCATTTCCCCTCAGAGGCCCCTATGGGGTATGGTGAGCCCAGTCAGAAATGTCAAAGCTCTGCCCTATAGAACAGAGAGAGGGGGGCCCAGGGCAAAATAATTTTCCAACTTGGCTCCAGGCCAGAGAAAATCCTGGATGGTGTTTATCATGACAGAAGGACAATAACAGGGACATGCAGAAGGGAACAAATATCCCTGTCCCATCCCAGAAGAAGTAACAGTTCCAAGGGGGAAACGTCAGCTTCTTTAACAAATACTTTTTTAAAAGATCTAATAAATTTTGGACCCCTGTAGCATTTTGAGACACTTTATTCTAATTTATAATGAAATCTTATCCCCAATTAGATGAGATTATTATTTTTACAGACCTGAATTTTGGTGGATGGTAACAGCCTGCTTTCACAGAGAATGTGGCTGCCCCAATCCTCACTATCCTTAGAAAGACTACAAAGTGGCCAAGTGGAGGTGGGTCAGAATACTTGATCTATACTTGTGCTAATACAGTAACCACTGACCACATGTGGCTGTTGAGCACCTGACATGTCTAGTCTGAATTGAGATACTGGAGTAAAATATACACTGGATTTCTAAAACTTACTTTGAAAAAAAAGGATATAAATATCTCATTAGTAAGTTTATATATTGATGACATGTTGAAATAATATTTTGAATATATTGAGTTAAATAAAAAATATTGATAGAATTAATTTCACCAGTTTCTTTTCTCCTTTTATTTGCCTAGTAGAAAAATTTAAGTTACAGATACGGCTCAAATTATATTTCTATTAGACATGCTAATATTTATGTGACATCTTAATATTTATGTGACCTTGGACAAACTTACTTAAAATCTCTAAGCCTCAGTTACCTCATTGTCTGTGCCTGGTACTTAAAAAATGCTCAGTAAATGGCGGCTATTGTGACTACCATTATTAAGAATTCCAGATGCTAAGTGAGGTGGTAAGTAGGGAAACATGGGAAGTGCCAAAGGGCCAGAGCAGGAAGAAATGGAGGAAATGTCAGGAAAAACCCCACAGTGGGACTTAAGGTTACCGTAGCTGAGGATTTTCTGGGGCCTGCTATGCCACTGCCAGCCTTGGTCACACACTGCTGTCTCTGAAGGAGCTGACCCTTGGCCGAGACCCAGCAGTCATCAGGGAGACTCCAAAGTGTCCTCAGTTGGGCCTGTGACCTGTTCACCCTCCTCTTCACCATGCAGAATCCCTGCCGGCTTGGCTTCACCTGCACAAACATTACAGACCACCTGCTAACATCTTCACAAGGTGAGACGTTCAGTAAGACACTGAACAACACGCTATAGCAGAAATGCCACTATGGGCAGCAGATGAGGCAAGAAACAAAAGTCATCGATCCCTTGACAGTAAGGAAGGCTTATCCCAGGAGAAAGGGAGGGTCAATGAGTTCGTAAGGAAAAGATGTTGGGTGATAGGAGTTGCAGCCGAGGAAGCAGTCGTGGTGTGATGAAGAGTGTTTGCAGTCCCTGTGTGATATGAAGATTTGGGAATCAGCTCCGCTCTTCCCTGGTTGTGTAGTCTTTCTTGGACATCCCTCTTCCCTCTGGGATCTTCAGTTTCTTCATAAGCAAAATGGGAATCAAAATGAAAGTTGCTTTCCAGGATTTTTATTAGGATTAAATGATGTGAGTATATACTCCTATATTTCTGCTAAAGCACTTCACAAATGAAAAAGGAGACTAATAAGAGAAAATAGCGGAGAGGGATATTTACAGCCTGCAAAGCAACTGGCAAACACTGCTTTCCTTATTTATGGCCCAAGAGGGCAGTTTATTCCTGCATTTCTCAAGGAAAAGGCTGGGGAACAAGGAGAAGGCACATTCAGGAGGTTCAACTGGAATTGCTCCCTGAAAGATCACAGAGTTCTCAGCAGGGCCAAGGCCTCTTTTGTCTCCAAATCCCTCTTTGTAAAATGTTACACTACTGGCCACCCCATCTGTGACACCATCACCCCCCATCTCTCCCAATGCGCTCTTCCTTTCTGACTGTGCCCTAAGAACAGGAAGGTTCTGCCCTTGGCTATCTATCTTCTCTACTGACTCCCACTCTCTCCTGAGCAACCGTTCTCTGTGAGGTGGATTTTGCCCTCCAGCGCACATTCATTTGACAATGTCTGGAGACATTTTTGGTTGTCAAATGGGTGGATTGCTTCTGGCATCTAGTGGGTAGAGGCCAAGGGTGCTAAACTTCCTACAATGCAAAAGGCAGTCCCGCATCCCCACAGCAAAGATGCACACCAAAAGTCAATAGCGCCAAGGTGGAGAAACCCTGGTCTCCCTAGGGAAGTGAAATGCCTTTATGGCTTCACCAGTCATTCATGGACAATCCCCAGATCTGTATCTCCATCCCTGATCTCTCAATCGCCACTGCTGCCTCTCCAATGCCCTGGACAGTACATAAACACCTCCAACAACCAAACCAAGTCCTTTATCTCTTCCCCGTGCTGCTCCTCCTACGTAGTACTCCCATCCTACCAGTTTACCAAGTTAGGAACCCTAAGTAATCCTACACATGCAAAGGGACATCATTAAGTCCTGACTCCATCTTGGTTATGTCTCTCATATCCCTTCCTTTCCAAACCAGGTCCTGCTTCCTAGGTAATGTCAGCATCATCTCTTCTCTGGACAATTCCATCCACTTCCAAACTGACCTTTGTTTTCCCATCCATTGCTCATGGGACTGCTTGTTATCTTGCCCAACACAGATTTGAGCATGCTCTCCCTGCTCCTGAGTAAAGCCTAAACACTTTAGTTTGCCATACTAAGACTGTTCTTAACCTGCTTTTCAAAGCTTATTTTCCCATAAGACTCACCTCCCAGCCCCCTAATCTCACCAAATTACATGTCCTTCTCCAACATACCATTGCTCAAGTGGACATTTTTTATGATGAATGAATATCCTGCTTCTCTTATCACTGCCTATGGAAAGACTATTCTTATATAAGACATTGCTTCCATGAAGCCTTCCAGATTTATCAACTGAAGTTAACTTCTTCCTCTTCTTATTGCCATAACATTTACTTTTTAAGAATCTATAATATGCTTTACCATTTGCTGTATACACATTTCACATTTGACTCCTCCAAGACTAAGTTCTGTGAAGGCAGGGACTGTGTCTTTACTTTACCCCTTACAAAATAATATAACCTGCTCACAGTAGGCATTCACTAAATGTTTGGGATCTTGAACTGAGAGACCTTACAGAGGGCTTCTTTCTCCACTGTTCAGACAGAAAGATAATTTTACAAGAAAAGATCCATGGAGAAATTCTTTCCTAAATTTTGGACTGTTTTATAAATAAATGAATGCTACATACCACCAGTCTTTGTACATTGGTCCTGAAAGACTAAACTGGAGATCAACCCCTTCAACCAAATCAAGTCAAAATCATGGGATGGAGAGGTGCTGAGTTAGCATAACTCATTTATTAGCTGTATTTCTCTTACCCAGAATGCTCAGTTCACCTAAGACTAAGAACTTTTGATTTCCTTCTCTCCTCTCAAAATGTAGTCATCCTTCAAGCCCAGTACAAACTTTCAAAAAAACTTTCTTGATTTCTCCAGTTGTAACTAATTTCTTCCTCAGTGCTCCAATAGCATTTTGAACTTCACTGAATACTTATGGCTGTCTACACTCTATTATTATTCTATTACTTCTATATTCTTTTGTTTCCTTATCCTTAAACTCCTATACGACAGAGACCACAACTAATAATTCTTCTGTAATATGCCTAGTTCTTGGCATGCAACAGAACATAAAGGCTAAACTCAATAGAACCATCTAATTTTGAGTGGTCACAGAAGAGCTAGCCCAAATTTCTCAAACCACCCTGAATTAATTTGGACTGGGGTTTGATGGTGGATTAAGGGATCCATCTCCTAAACAGATCCATGGCTTCCACAGTTACCTGGCCCACCTTGCCTGTTAGGATGACCTAGAAGTGGGTCAGGCCCTCAACAGCAGGAACACTATTAGCCCAGTGATTCACTTGCCAAATACATCTGTCCCTGAAATCCCTATTTTACATCTACCCCTGCCATTCTTTTCCTTTAGCACACTTCATTTATTAGCTGTATTTCTCTTGCCCAGAATGCTCTCAGTTGATTAACTGTTCAGAATTTTTTATTTCTATTTCCTTCTCTTTAGGATGGTGGTTCTCAGCACATGGTACATGAACCCCTGGGGTCTTCAAAGACAAAACTACTTCTGTAATAATACTGATAGGTTATTTGCCTTTTTAATTATGTTGACATTTACACTGATGATGCAAAAGCAATGGTGGGTAAAACTGCTGGCAACTTAGCAGTAACGACTGTGGGACCAAAATGACGTTACATACCTCCTTGCCAGACACTTGCAATTTTTAAAAATGCCATTTTTTATTAAGAATTCCCTTAATGAAACAGTATAAATTATTAATTTTATCAATTCTTGACACTAGTATACATCTTTTATTATTTTATTTTGTGCGAACAAACAGGAGAGAGGAACATAGAGCTTCTGCATAACCACATGCAATCATTTCATAGTTGTTCTAAGAAAAAGCATTTGTGCAATTAAACTGTGAGCTGAACTAACATTTGTTTGTAAATTAATGGATTTCTTTTTAATAGTACAGACATTTCCCATACATCCCTTCAACACTCTCCCAGGGTCTTCTATTGTTAACATCCTGCATTATGTGATACACTTGTTACACTTCATGAGCTAATATTAACATATTAACAAAGTCTATAGTTTACACTAGGGCTCACTCTGTGTTGTACATTCTGTGGGTTCTGAAAAATGTATAATTACATGTATGTACCACGATACCATTACAGTATCATACAGAATAGTATCATTTCTGTAAAAATCTATTGTGTTCCACCCATTTCATCCCTCCCTCCCATCTCCCAATCCCTGGCAACCACCGATCTTTTTACTATCTCCACAGTTTTGCTTTTCCAGGATATCACAGTTTGGATCACATAGTAGGCAGCCTTTTCAGACTGGTTTCATTCAAGGAGCAATATGCATGTAAGGTTCCTCCGTATCTTTTCTTCGTGGCTTGATAGCTTATTTCAGTTTATCACTGATCCCATTGTATGGATGTACCACATTTTGCTTATCCATTCACCTACTGAAAGAACATCCTGGTTGCTTCCAAGTTTGGGCAATTATGAATAACGCTGTCATTCATTTGTGTGCGGGTTTTGTGTAGGCATAAATTTTCAACTCATTTGGGTAAATACCAAGGAGTATTAACTGTTGGATCATATGGCAAGAGTTTGTTTAGTTTTGTAAGAAACTGTCAAACTGTCTTCCAAAGTGGTTGTATCATTTTGCATTCCCAGCACCAGAGAAGGAGAGTTCCTGTTGCTCCACATCCTCACCAGCATTTGTTGTCCGTGCTTTGAATTTCAATCATTCTAATAGGTATCTCGTTGTTTTAGTTTGCAATTCCCTGATAAGATGCTGAGAATCTTTTTCTTTTTTTTAAATGAAGCATCACTTTACCTGAAAGGATGTCAGACAAATGATGGTTATTCAAACTGGCATATTTGGCAGGAATTTTCTCAAAAATGAGAGGAGTGAGACTGCTCTTTCAAGGAAAATGATAGACAGTATTTGTTGCCAATGATAAATTTGAGCTTTCAAGTGAAAATTAGAATTTTGAAAAACTTGTACGTGCCACTGTGAGCCTGCCAGCTTCCCGACACTTAAGAGACTCTGCATTTGGAAAAGCTGCATACCTCAGTGAACCAATATTTTCCAAATGACCATGTATGTATGATTTTACAGTATCATGCATGAGTAAATGGTCTATTCAAAGTGCAAATATACCAATGATTTGAATGCAACAGAGCATAAAGTTCATCAATACAGCTTGATTCCACATACAACTAACCTTTAAAAAAACTACCACTTGCAAATTTAGGCATGGAATAAAAAAATATCCATAATTATTTATAAAGGCTCTTAAATGTTTCTCCCTCTTCCAACTGAGTAGCTGTGAGGCTAGATTTTAGATTTCCTTTGTATACTTCAACACCATTTCCCAACAGATCAAATGCAGAAGCAGGTATGAGAATCCAGCTGTCTTCAATTAAACCAAGACATTAAAGAGATTTGCATGTAAAACAATACTACTCTTCTCATGCAATTTTTGGGAGACACATTTTTTTTTTGAGAGGGCATCTCATATTTATTGATCAAATGGTTGTTAACAACAATAAAATTCAGTATAGGGGGGTCAACGCTCAATGTACAATCATTAATCCATCTCAAGCCTAATTCTCGTCAGTCTCCAATCTTCTGAAGCATAACGAACAAGTTCTTACATGGTGAACGAATTCTTACATAGTGAATAAATTCTTACATGGTGAACAGTACAAGGGCAGTCATCACAGAAACTTTCGGTTTTGATCATGCAATATGACCTATAAACCATCAGGTCAAATATGAATATTCATTTGATTTTTGTACTTGATTTATATGTTGATCCCACATTTCTCCTATTATTATTATTATTTTTATTTTTAATAAAATGCTGAAGTGGTAGGTAGATGCAAGATAAAGGTAGAAAACATAGTTTAGTGCTGTAAGAAGGCAAATGTAGATGATCAGATGATCAGGTGTGTGCCTATGGACTAAGTATTAATCCAGGCTAGACAAGGGCAGCAAGACATCCACGGATGCAGAAGATTTCTCTCAAAGCAGGGGGGGTGAGGTTCTGAGCCTCACCTCTGTTGATCCCCAAATTCTCACCNTTTTGGTATCATTAATCTACAATTACATGAGGAACAGTATGTTTACTAGAGTCCCCCATCACCAAGTCCCCTCCACGTACCCCATTACAGTCACTGTCCATCAGCGTAGTAAGATGCTGTAGAATCACTACTTGGACAGACACATTTTTATTTCATAAAAATGTTATTTATGTAAACATGTAATGAGTTTATTACCTTCGTGTGTGAGAATCAATACTTTAAACATTTCTCAGTGCATATTTCCAACACAGTAAATATGGTTAAAATATAATCCACATAAACAAAAGCTCTTCAGGGTTCTCAATAATGCCTAGCAGTGTAAAGGGGTCTTGAGACCAAAAAATGTGTGAACCGCTGCTCCAGGACGCCTTCCTCTTACCCTGCTGGCCAATCCTGGTGCCAGTGAGAACTGGATATGACAGTGCTGTTCAAAACTCAGCTCTCAAAAAATCTCCCCTGATCGACCACAACCTACTCACTGGTCCTATTCTGCATCTCCTCTGTAGTTTGTTGTTCCGGTTTCCCCTGCAGATTTCAAACCCCTGGTTCTTGGCAGGTACTGGAAGGGAGAATAAAGGAACTCGCACACCCTCTCTAGGCCGGGGCAGCCCATCCAGGCGCGTCCTCAACTCTGCAATCAACCTCTCTGGGAAGTCTGATATTTGCTCCCATTTCACTCAACTCGGGGAGCACGGCAGGGTCACTACGACCTGGGGAGGCCGAATGGGGGAGAGTAGGGACTCGGGGAAGTTGCGGGAATTCCGAATCTTCCTACAGTTGAAAGCAACGGAGGGCTCTCGGCAGGCTTCAGGGGCGATATCGGTATTGCGGCAGAGGAGGGACAGGTCTGAAGGTACTAGCGTTCCTTCTCAGTTCCGGGTGAGGGCGAGGCCCGCCCACGTCGCCGCACCCCCCCAAGGCTCTTCGGCCCGCCCTTTGCCGCCAAGCAGGGAGCTCGGCGCGGCCGGCTGGGGCCTTCACGACACCCCGGCGCTTTCCGGTCGGCCGCGCAGGTGCTGATGTGTCGGGAGGCCGGGCTTCGGGCAGCTACTCCTCGCAACGCTCCTTTCTCGGACGCTGCTTCTGTGGCCGAGCTACCTCCGCGGAGCTATGGCGGTGTCTGCCCAGTCCGCTCGGGCCCCGCGCGGCTCAGGTAGGCGCAGAGCCCCGCTGTACGGCGGAGGGAGAGGGCTGGTCTCCGTGGGCCGGGGGCGGGAGGTCTGCCCTCTGGGACCCCGGGGAGGGAGACGTCCATTGGGGAGGGGCATGTAGAGAAAGATTGCAGCCTGCAGCTTCAGAGCTGCGATGACATTCGGGGGTGCTTTGCAGTTGGGGGGCTGCAGTCTGAGAGAGGTTCTGGGGCATTGGGGGTCCTGGAGATGGGACTGCACTGAAAGGATGTTTTTGGTAGTCAGAGATCAGTGGGAGAACCTAGGTAGGCAGAAGCCCTGGGGCTGTTGGGGCTGTGATTCGCTCTTTTAAAGAACCTACGCCTTGTACGTGCACACACACTTTCGCCATTTATCGGTTGCAGATAAAGCACTGAAAGACAAGGCTGGACAGACCTCACGGTCCAATCAGGGCAGCCGAATGGGAAAACTCTTGGGTTTTGAGTGGTCAGATGTGTCCAGCTGGGCAAGGTTGGTGACCCTGCTGAATCGACCAACGGATCCTGCAAGCCTGGCCGTTTTTCGTTTTCTCTTTGGTGAGTCCAGTTTGGTTAGAGGTGGGAGAGTAACATTGTCCTTTGTCCCCTTCTCGTTTACTTAGTGACTTAACCTACATTTTTCTCAGAGCTGAAGATACTGATAACCTGGACGAAGTCTTTGTGGAGTTGAGGATTAACCCAGCTTTGTCCCCTCTAATTAGGGTCCCATTTTGCTTGTGGCATGAAGTTGCCGAGTAATTATGGCAAGGAATAGACTTCTGAGAAACAGCAGGGCTGACAAGGAAGACATTTTGGCTGTGACTCCCTAATGCATAGCTTCCTAACTCATAGGCCACGCATGTGTGCTTGAAATGGTGGTTTACAGATGTGCTGAAATATTAATATCCTAAGCCCAGTGGTTCTCAACTGGGGGCAATTTTGTTTCCTACGGGACATTTGGCAATGTCTGCACACATTTTTATTTGTGTAACTTGGGCAAAAGGGGAATAGGTGGCTACTGGTAACTATGTTAGGAGCCAGGGATGCTGATAAATGACCTATGATGCACAGCCCCTCCCAACAAATAACCAACCAGCCCAAAGTGTGAATAGTCCTGAGGTTGGGAAGCCCTGCCTTACCTGGAGCTGGCCTCCTCACCTGAATAGCCCCTTGTGTTGTGTTAGCCAAATATTGCTGTGGAATATTTGTGGAAAAAGTTGAGAAGCATCACCCTAGAGCACTTTCTGTATAGCCTGGCAGGACTGACCTTTGGAATTATAACTGTCAAAGCCTGAACAGCCTTTATAGCATTTTGTACGCTTCTTTCATTTAAACCTCTTTGTAACCCTGTAAAATCTATGAGTCCCCTTTCACCAGCAGGCATTGGCTCAGTAAGGTGCAGTGGCTCTCTGAGGTCTCCTAACTGGCATAATGCTGTACTCAGTAATTATGGTCAGATGAATGAATAAATGGCAGAGCTAGGATTAGGAAAGAAGTCTGACCTTGGAGATGGGTGCATTCAACTGTATTCTAGTGTGTTCCACTGCTTCCTTTGCTGAGGCCTAATGGCCCCGTTCCCCCACAACTGCTTTTTCAGGGCTGATGATGGTGCTGGACATTCCCCAGGAACGTGGGCTCAGCTCCCTGGACCGAAGATATCTGGATGGGCTGGAGGTGTGCCGCTTCCCCTTGCTGGATGTCCTGCAGCCCCTGCCGCTTGACTGGATGTATCTTGTTTATACCATCATGTTTCTGGGTGAGGGAAACTGGAAGAGATGGGAGTATTGACTGGCCTACATAAAACACAGAAATACAAAGTATGCTGATGAATGACCAAGGTCCTGGGTTGTTTATTTCACTTATGCTGTGACTTATAATTTCATCCTACTGATTTGTGTGTGATCCAAGCTCTGACCCCTTAACTTTTTAAGAATATTAAGATAACATTTAATTTTAATTTAGTTTTACCTGATTTAAAAATGTCTAATGACTGTTCTTAATTTCACCCACAGCGTGTCCCAGGGGAACTGGGCCTGTGGTGACCTTCTGACATCTTAATCCTCTCCCCCACAAATCCCAGGGGCACTGGGCATGATGCTGGGCCTGTGCTACCGGATCAGCTGTGTGTTATTCCTACTGCCATACTGGTATGTGTTTCTCCTGGATAAGACATCGTGGAACAACCACTCCTATCTGTATGGTTTGTTGGCCTTTCAGCTGATGTTCATGGATGCAAACCACTACTGGTATGAATCCAGGGGATAAAAGGGGAGGGGTTGGCTGGGTCAGGTTGGTTACCAGAGATAGGTACTCACTGAAGTCCTAGAAGTTGCCCTGGCAAGCATATTTTTAACCACGCTTTGCAAAGTGTGGTTACAAGGTCACACTTTGATTTGGATGGATTGGGTGGGGGAAGGGTCAGCAAGGTTGGAGCACTTGGAATGACAAATAAAATGGCCCCATTCCCACCCACTCTTTCCATATCTCCCCAGATACCTTGATCTATCCTCTTCCTGTAAACCCCTTAGAGAGATGAAGAGAAGACTAAAGCCAGACATAGCTGTTTTCAGATACTTCAAGGGTGGTCATGTGGGAGACGGAGCAGACTTGCTATGTGTGAGCTCAGAGGGGCACAGTTAGAGCCAAGAGTAGAAGTTGCTGTGAGGCAAAGTCATGTCAGAACAAGAGGGCGCACCAGGGCTGCTCAGCAGTGCTGTCCTGGGAGGATGTAACTCTCCTCCGCCTCTGCCTTAGGTGACCATCTTTCATGGGAGGTGGAGAAGGGATTTGGAGACAGGGTGGCAGGGCAGATGACCTTTAAGGATTCTTCCTATTATTAAGTGACAAGCAGATATGAGATGTCAGTAAGCTGGGGAGAGGAAAATATCTCAGATATTGAATTTGCTAGTGATTTATAAGATACTAAGTTTCACTTACTATATACATACAAATACTCCTTTTGTTGACCTTTAAATTGATGTGGAATGCCAGTCGGATCATAAATAATTTAGAGGCAGTTTTGACAAAATATCCCTGAAAAGTTTACTTTTTATGACTTGTACACAGGTTGAAAAAATACATATCACTTACTGAGGGCTTTCCACATGCCACAAACTCTATTAAACGTGTTTAAATTTTTCATTTAAACCCATGAGGTCCACAGTGCTGTTCTCATTTGCTAGATAAAAAAACTAAGGCTTTAGAGACATAAAGAATTTGCCTAAGATCACATAGCTGGTAAGGGGCACAAGAGAGAATCCAAGTCTCCCTAACTGCAGACTCCAGAGCTCTTGACCGCATGTGAGAGCTGCCCCTTTGCCAACTTCTCTGTTCATTCACGGCTTTCTTGAAAACCTGCTTTGCTTCTACCTCCCTAGAATACATCTAGTCTTAACAGTCCGAGTTTATCAGTCCTCTCCCTAGGTAAGCTATTTGTAGCTACCCCCTGGCATTAGATCCTGGCATCCAGATCTGTGAAAGTCAGTTTGTCTTAGATACTGAAAAATTTTTTAAGGCATTATATATATTTACATACACCTTTAGCTTTTCAAACACTCTCTCAAATTCATTCTTTTTCAAATTCAGTCATGTTTCTGGCATTGTTGTCTTTCCTGATTTGTTCCATTAGAACAGACTAATTTGATAACTAACTAATAGAAAACACTGAACTTTTTGTTGTAACTCATTAGTAATATTTCTGTTATGACTTAAAATAATCACTGTTACAATTTGCTCATATAGCCCAGAGGACTGGAGAGGATATGAGAGATGTCCCAGGATATATAGGTTACTGCATTTAAAAAGAAAGGTGGAAATGTGGCTGGACTAAGCAGCTGTCCTCAATCCTTAACTTCCCTTGGTGTAGGTCTGTGGACGGCCTTCTGAAGGCCCACAAGCGGAATGCCCATGTGCCCCTTTGGAACTACACAATGCTGCGTGGCCAGGTACAGGAATTCAGGAAAGAGGGAGGTGTTCTTGACAGCACTGCCCTCTGACTGCCAGACTGCACCCTACTTTGCCTCCCTGGATCTTCTTTTATCCCCTTTGCTGGAAAGCTAGGCTTACTTTTCCATTGTTTCCTGTTCCCTGATCTCTGGGTTTTCTCACTTTGTCATGGAAAGAGTAGAGCCTTGTGCCTACTGGATTAAAATCCTCATGAGAGAGTTGTTTCATGACTTTCCTTAGTGCCTAATACCATGCTTGGCATTGGTAATGTGTCAGCAATACTTGTTGAATCAGTGAATGCCTGAGATGAATGAATAGTAGCATGGATCTAATCTTCCTTGAGCCCTGAATTGAAATCAGAACTTAGTTTATTTTTGACTGTAGAATACAGGGTTCTTTTTTTGTGTGAACATTTGTCTTGCATTTTGTGTTTGCAGATCTTCATTGTGTACTTCATTGCCGGTGTGAAGAAGCTGGATGCAGATTGGGTTGAAGGCTATTCCATGGAATACCTGTCCCGGCACTGGCTCTTCAGTCCTTTCAAGTGAGTGGCAGTCAGGGCAGAGTTATTGAGGCAAGGGCACAAAGTGGGTGACTTGCCTCCTTCAGTTCTGTAGTAATGGCTACTATTCCTTCTTTGCCTGAGTTTGCCACATGCTTTCTTCTGTCCACTCATCTCCCCATTCAGCAGAAGGCAAAGTTGATGATACTAAAAGATCTAGGCCTAGCCTACCCTGGAGGACTTATGTTATAGGCTGGAATAAAAGGAAAAGGAAAAATGGACAGGAAAGAGCCAGAACTAGGTGACATGGTAAATGAGTCAGTGCACCCAGCAGTTGCTCCAGATGGTGCCTATGTCCTGGGGTTGGTACCCCAGCCTCTTGCCAGGATTCCTCAGTCAGTGTATGAGAAGACAGCCTCCCAGCCCTGATAAAACTACTGTTACCAGTTCTACAAAACAGAGGTTTGCCCCCTCGGATTTCGTTTGTCCCATTTCTTCTTCCGTCTTGTTTTACTTTTTTCTGGTTCTTCTTCCCTGTTATTTCCCAGTTCCTAAAGTTTGACTTCATTATAATGATAGTCAAGCATTTTCTTTTTAAGTTTCTTCTCATTTAAAATCTGCATGAAGAGCCTGAAAATCTGCATGAAGAGCCTACCCCTCCACAATATACACACTTCCCAATCAGATTTTGCCTGAGGCGATCTATGCTGAATATACAGAAAAAAATTGGACGCCTGAAGTGTGTGGGAATGAAAATAGATTGGAAAGCTCTACATTAGGATATCTTTGTGCAGAGTCCTTCCTGCCTGCTGGGGTGCGTCCTTTGCAGAGGACTGAGTAGGAGAGGCACACTGGCTACGACTGTGCCGAGTGCTGGGTTCCCAGTGGGCTGCTGCCTGACCTTTGTCCCGGTGTCTCCAGACTAGTGTTGTCCGAGGCGATGACCAGTCTGCTCGTGGTGCATTGGTGTGGACTGCTGCTCGACCTCTCAGCTGGTTTCCTGCTCTTCTTTGATGCCTCAAGGTCCATTGGCCTCCTCTTCGTGTCCTACTTCCACTGCATGAATTCCCAACTTTTCAGCATTGGTCAGTACCTGTAGTCTGGTAGGAAATAGGAAACCATAGATTTGCAAAGAGGGACTAGCCAGAGGCATTGTTTGGGAACGAGAGATGGTGAAAGGAACATTTGCCAAATTAAACCAGATGTAGTTGCTGTAAAATGGAAATCAATGGGAGGAGAGGACTGGGGCTTCTAGGTTCATGAGTATTTTCTGTATAGTAAGGAATCTCTAGGATGTAAGTATCCTCTAGTTAAGAATTTCTTTTATCTTAAGCGGAATACCAGAAGAAGCCTCCTAAGGGAAGGGGGTTGAGATTACTCATGTTTCCCCAAGCCAAACTCCTGAAATGCTTATTTTCTCCCTACTTTTCTAGGTATGTTCCCCTATGTCATGCTGGCCAGCAGCCCTCTCTTCTGTCCTCCTGAGTGGCCTCGGAAGTTGGTATCTCACTGCCCTGCAAGGCTGCAAGAACTGCTGCCCCTCAAGGCTGCCCCTCAGCCTAGCACCTCCTGCATGTATAAGAGGAGCCGCTCCAAAGGAGGCCAGAAGCCAGGGCTGCGCCATCACCTAGGCACCGCCTTTGCCCTGCTCTACCTCTTGGAGCAGCTCTTCCTGCCCTACTCCCATTTCCTCACCCAGGTATATATGGGCCGGGATTAGCTTGGAAAGTGGCAGGGGTGATAACAGTAGAGAAAGAATGGAGCTGGTATTACAGCCTTTTCTCGGTGGAGGATGGGGTTCACACGAAAACCACTGAGCTGATTCCCTCTGCGCTGCCTTCTCAGGGCTATAACAACTGGACCAACGGACTGTACGGCTATTCCTGGGACATGATGGTGCACTCTCGCTCCCACCAGCACGTGAAGATCACCTACCGTGATGGCCGCACTGGCGAGCTGGGCTACCTAAACCCTGGGGTGAGACTTGATGTAGACAATTAACTCTTCTCCAGAGCCCTCATGAGCTTTGGGGTCTGATTCAGTCCTAAACACAATTATAAAACAAATTTGGGTTCTACTCTGCCATTTCTCAGAAGCCAGATTGACATTCTTTTGTGTAGGTTGAAATAGGGCAGTGTCACACATTTCCTTGAATTGAGGTTAGATTTAGGAAAAGTAACTACCATTAACCCAGGCATGACAAATTCTTCCCTGAAGACAAGCTCAGTTTTTTTCTTTTCTGGTCAAAATGGGCAGCAAGCATCTCTTTGTGCCATTGAAAGTGCATGACCTATCAGGGAGGTTGATAACCATGAGGTGGGACTAATGAGGGGGTTTGGGGCAGGTATTCACACAGAGCCGGCGATGGAAGGATCATGCAGACATGCTGAAGCAATATGCCACTTGCCTGAGCCGCCTGCTTCCCAAGTACAATGTCACTGAGCCCCAGATCTACTTTGATATTTGGGTCTCCATCAATGACCGCTTCCAGCAGAGGTGGGCAAGGGGGCAGAGAAGGGGGAAATGAAACCAGCTCCTTTTGCCAAGATGAATGGCCCATGCTTCCTAGTGTTGTCTTGCTTGAAAGGCTGTCCTCTGGTGCCTGTCCCTTTTGGCTTGGTTGTGGGCATAGCTAATTGCTTCCAGCAGGGGGCACCAGCATCCAGAGAAAAGGTAACTGACCTGTTCTATAGAAACTGTTAATCCAGTTCTCAGGTGGCCACTAACCCCCATTCTTCCCAGTGCTCCAGAATTTCTTTCTCTTTCTCTCTGTGTCCCACACTGGCAATACCATGCTGACTTAGGCCATTTTTTCTGTTTGAAAACTTTCTTCTACCTGGGAATGGTGATGAAAGGAACAAAACTGGAAATTCTGGTGGGTAGGTGGCTGTGGCCTCTTTAAAACATGGTTTTCTTTCCTAAGGATTTTTGACCCTCGTGTGGACATTGTGCAGGCTGCCTGGTCCCCCTTCCAGTGTACACCTTGGCTGCAGCCATTGCTGATAGACTTGTCTCCCTGGAGGACCAAGTTACAGGAAATCAGGAGCAGCCTAGACAACCACACTGAGGTGGTCTTCATTGCAGATTTCCCTGGTATGGAGAAAAGCAAGGAGAGGCTTTGCTGTCTCTTCTCTGGCTTCCGTGGCCAGGGATGTTGCATGCGGTGGAGGTGGGTAGTGGGTAGGGGGTCCGCCTGGTGGGAGGAATGTTTTTGAAATGTGAAGAAATGCTAGTAGAGGAGGTGTGGTATCTCTCTTCTGGCTGGGAATGAGTTCACTGTCATGGGGTGGGCTGCGGAGCTTTGTTGCCCCTGATAGGGCTGCACCTGGAGAATTTTGTGAGTGAAGACCTGGGCAACACTAGCATCCAGCTGCTGCAGGGGGAAGTGACTGTGGAACTGGTGGCAGAACAGAAGAACCAGACTCTTCAGGAGGGAGAAAAAATGCAGGTATTTTACTGGAATTAACAATGACAGAAAAGTGTAGGTGAGTGTAATTGACTTACTATAGACTCGATGCTTTACCCTAGCAATAGAGCAGTGGGAGCTTGAAAAGCTAGGGCCGCTGGGCTGTGAGTAGCCTCATCCAGGATTCTAGAGGTCAGTCCTTTGGACTCCAAAACACAGTAAGAAGAAAACTGCCTGGGTCGGGAATGGGAAGGTAGTGCTGGCTAGGAAAAGGTAGAGAGTGAATATATCCATTTCTTCCCTCTTCCCAGTTGCCTGCTGGTGAGTACCATAAGGTGTATACAGTGTCACCCCTTCCTTCCTGCTACATGTACATCTATGTCAACACTACGGAGCTTGCACTGGAGAAAGACCTGGCATATCTCCAGGAATTAAAGGAGAAGGTGGAGAATGGAAGTGGTGAGTATATGAAGATTTGGGCTGAGAGAGCCCCTAGTTACAAGACGTCAGGGTTGTGAATGAGGATCTAGGCATTGAAGAGTGAACTCTAGTTGGTGAAAGGGGAGTTCTAAAGGAGGGAATGATCTCTCAGTGATTCCTCTTTTCGCCATCTTCTGGGCAGAAACAGGGCCTTTACCTCCAGAGCTGCAACCTCTGCTGGAAGGGGAAGTAAAAGGGGGCCTTGAACCAACACCTCTAGTCCAGACCTTTCTTAGACGCCAGCAAAGGCTCCAGGAGATTGAACGTCGGCGAAATACCCCTTTCCACGAGCGGCTCTTACGCTTTTTGCTGCGAAAGGTCTATGTCTTCCGTCGTAGGTAAATTTCATCCACAGAAATACTTGTGAGGGCAAATAAGGATGCTCTAGCACTAAATCCTTTTTCCTTCTCTATTCTCCTCTCTCTGATTTAATGGAAGAGTATAAATGACCTGTATCTGATGGCCTTCTGGCCTCAGCTTATTTTCAACTTCCCCAAGGGTTATTCCTACCCTACCCAGGAATCCTCTACCAGACTGTATAAAGGATGGGGTGCCCTTCCAGCTGGGATGTGGGGGCCACTGGGGGGAGATTCTCATTTATGCCTGGGTGAGAGGAGGTAAGATAAGACCAGGTATCCGTAAAGGACTTTGGCGGGAATTCCTGTGTCAAAACGAGTTGGGACTAGGTAGCCTTTTTCCTCTTTTTCAGCTTCCTGATGACTTGCATCTCACTTCGAAATCTGTTGTTAGGCCGTCCTTCCCTGGAGCAGCTGGCCCAAGAGGTGACTTATGCAAACTTGCGACCCTTTGAGCCAGTTGGAGAGTCAAGTCCTTCAAACACAGATTCTTCAGATCCTAATCCACCTGAGCCAAATTCTGATCCTGTTCACTCAGAGTTCTGAAGGGGGCCAGACGTTGGGTACAGATGTGGGAACAGCCAGTCACAGGACCAGTACCTATGCAGTGGAAATTTGAAAAAACTATCTCGTGTATTTTTTTACATTTTTCTTCCTTGTCCACAGCTCATTTTTCAGAAATAAATGATAGAGGAGTCAAGGAAGTAAAGCAAGGGTAACATCTATCAGTCTAAGGTTAAGGGGCTAGGAAAGGGTTAAAAACAATGTGAAAATGTTCTTCTAAGATATAGGGATTAAGAATCAGATTTAAAGTGACTGGCTCCTTGGAGAGGGAGATTTAATGTAATTCACTTTGATGAAGTAGCAGCTGTTTTCCAGTGCTTGTGATATGCTGGGCACTGTGTGAAGCGCAGTATCTGCATTATTACATTTAGTCCTTAATGGCCATTAGCTATGTTTTACAGTTGGAGAAAGTGAGGCTGAGAGGTAATATAATTTGCTCATACATACACCTAATAAGGGATGGATTGGTGGTTTGAACCTCGTCTGTTTGATTTAAGGTCCTACATCCTGCATCTTTTAATTTTCAGAATCATTGATAATAATTCTGAAATGTAGTTTAAACATTAACTGTAAGTACTGTTAGGATGGTGATCAGGTTCTATAGGCACACAAAGTAATTTTCTTTACAATTCTGGTTCCTTCTTTGTTTGCATTATCTATATAGCCAGTAAGTTTTTCACTAGCAGTTATGAGGGCAGTTAGAATAGCATGAAGTTACACTAGTAAGGAAATTTAGATTGATGGTAGTATCTCTCTAAAAGTTAGTGTAGTATTTAGTAGTATTCCAGACATTAGCAAAAAGTGATGTTAAGTAAAAATTTACCAGACTTGGTAAGGGATTAGAGAATGTTAGTTTGTAGGTTTGGATATACAGGGTTGTTTCAGGAATCTCAATTCCATGAAAATTTAAAGGCCTGGAACTGGACTAGGAAGAGTGCAGAGAAATAAAAGGCCCCCTGCTCTGGGTGCTCGTGGTCTCCTACCAGAGACTGGCAGTCCCAGTAATTTTGATAAAGGATTGCGTGTTTTCAGGCTTCTCTTCCCTTGCTCTACCCACCCCCAACCCCTTGGACAGTGGTCTCAGGTTCTTTCCTAGGTGGCTGTCTTTTTCTGTACACACTTGGGATGATTATATAAACACCATGATTTCCAACGCTGCTACTTAATTCCTTCTCTGTGCCCTAGACATATACAAATAGCTCCACCTGAATATCCCACAGCTTCAAACTGTCCTAAACAGAACTTATTCATCCCCAACTGACCCACTCCTTTATTAGTGGGCAGCAGTATTTTTTTGACCAAGTCATCTGAGTCGTCAGCCTTCACTTTTTTACCTGAGTAAAAAGAACCATTGCTTCTACCTCTTCTTGACTATTAGTTTCATCTCTACCACCTTTGTGTTCTTTCAGCCTTTGTATTGGAATTTAGTTAAGGTTAGACGAGAGTAGAGCTACCATGTAGTCGTTTGTGCAGGTTGGGCCTGAGTAAGGGCACCCCACTGAGGCCAAGGGTGGCCTGGCAGTTTAAGTCCCTCTTACCTTGATTCAGTGTATAGGCTAGCAAGGGCTGTGCCACAGGGTAACTTGACCCAGTTATGATGTGGGAGAATCAGTTTTCCAAGTATTTTGCAGATCTCTGTGACACAACATATACCTTGGCACTGTTTCCTTTGCCGTTAAGCTCAGCTGTCCTTTGTTCCCCTAAGCACTACCCACCTCGCTCGTACTTGACTAACAAAGCTTTTTCACTGTGGGAGTTAACTCTTACAAAAAGTACTTTTCAGAATATGCAAGTGTGCCGTTTTCTCCAAACTGTTAGCTCACTTCTCATTTCCCCAGTGATGATGGGGTGGGATAGAGGACAAGTGGTTATTTTCATACTGGTGAGAAAAAGTTGCTCAGTGGAGATCTCAGCTTTCAGGAGCAATCAGTTCCTGTAACTGCAGCTGTTACGGCATATGGCTTATCAATGTCCTTTTAGCCAGTTTTTATTCCTTGTAATTCTGCCCCTGCTGTTTGGCTTTGTCCCTGTCGTCATCCACTTTACGGAAAAGGCAAGCACACATTTCTCAACCTAAACATGAATTGACATTCCCTGCTTTGAAATCACCCACTCTTTCATACCTTTGATCCTTTCTCCTTGGGCTGATTAATATTCCTCCACCTTCCTATCTTTAGGATTCTGTCCCCCAAGGCTGGGCAGAGGATAAGAACCTTAAAGGTTATTCTCTGTATCCTGCAAGCTTGAGGGCTGAGATGTTACTAGCAAATACTCAACCTGATCCTAAGGCAATTACTCCAGCACTACCCCAATTTAGGAGCATTCACTATTAGTCATTCTCCTTATATGGCCAGCATGCTTACTTGTAGACAGCAATGCACTGGCATTTAAAAGCTCTTTGAAACATTCTGTGAACTTTCCCATGTCAAGCAAAGTTTAAGTATGATACTCCTCTAAGATTTAACCTTATCTCCTCTCCCAACATATTTCTAAATTTTTTAAGTCTCCCAAGAGGTGTAAGACACATTCCATGGGCTTCACATTTGCAGGTCAACCATGTTTGATCACCTCTTGACTTTGCACATGCTGGGTAGAACATTAGGCCAAGTGGCTCCTGTCTATATTGAGTTCCTAGGCTCAAGAAAGGACGGTTCACAAAACTATGTGGTTAAGAACCCTCTATACAAACCGCCACAAATTCAGAATAAACTTTGTAAACTTGTAGCATCTTCACTTTATTTTTTCAAAGAAATTTTGGTTCTTTTATTGTGTATGATGGATTGGAAGCAGGCCCCTCACCAGTTACTAATGTGTACTGAACATGTAACTTGCAGCCTTTAACACCTGTTTATATAGAGGGATTAATAGCTTAATAAACCTTTTTACATATTATAGTCAAAAAGATTAAAAGTAGATTTAAATTCTAAAGACTATTGCTATTTTCTCCATGTTATGTCAGTCGTTTTTATACCTTTAGTTCTTAATCCTTAAGCTTACACAATTTAGAACATTATTGGTAGTATAAGAATGGATGCTTCAAAAAAAGGACACATGGATTGTGGCCATTGCATTGGCCAAAAAAAGCAATGCTGGACAGATCAAATCTTGAACTTTCTCAGTGCTAGGAACATAAATTACAAACACCCCTGTACCACAGGGTTAGAGTATATTCTTAAATCATATTGATACAAAACTTTTAAAGAATAATGGACACTGATTAAGGTAGAACCTAGCATTTTATTTAGTCTTCATTGAACTGTTGGAATTGAGAACCAGACATACGTAATAAACCTCCAAAAATAGATCCTGAAAGGCACTTTGCTTAGGGCAAGCAGTCATGGAATAAGCATGTAAACAAGCTGGCTTCTCTGTACCACACCAGCCAAGTCAGCTTTCTCCATGGCCAGCCGCACCAGCTCTGCCCTCCCTTCTGTTAACACCAGCCAGACCCCCTGTAGGTCTAACCCAAGGTTTTTCTGTAGGACACCTTGGCCTACCTGGGAATGCTGGAAACATGTTGTTAAAGGAATCATGGTGTTGAAGAAAAAAAATTCTTTTAAAAGCTGCCATCTGAAGTGATGGCTTCTCTGTACTTACGCCATACCCCAGAATACAATAAATAAGCAATTAGAAAATGTTCAAGTATGAAGGGATTTCCTCCTCCCCGCCAAAAGCACTGCTCTCTGAAGGAAGCTGGTTTCTCTGTAGCTACACCAGCTGTTCAGAAAGCTCATTGGACCTGGTTTTGAAAATAAAACAAAGTTAAAACCCTGGGAGGAGTTATTGTGCAGTGTGGAGTACTCAGTCTTTCTTATAAAGAAAAAAAAAGTTACCTGGTACCAAAGTGTGCAACCTACAGACCCTCAGGTACTGCCCCTGTGACTTCTCTGTATGACATCACAGGGTGCCAAGTGCCTGTTTTTCTAGAGCTAGGAGTTGGTGGTTTGGCTAGTGCTGAAACCATGCATAGGATTGGTTTACTATAAATAAAAACCTTATTACGTACGTCCTCCAAGACAGCTGAAAAGTAGAGATTTTGATTTGGTGCTGTGTAAGAGATGGCAATTAAGAGCATAAGCACCAGGGAGATGGTTTAATGGTAACTGCCTTTTTCTTTTTTCTTTTAATGTCAGGCTAGAGCTCCAACTGGAACTTGCGTTACATGCAAGAATGATCGGATAAGGGAACACTCCCTGACAAAGCTACATGATTAGAAATGGATCAAGTTATAGGGAGCATATGGAAGGCTTCACATTCATAATAGTAGAGCTCAAGACATTACAAATTCATGCTGACAGGGCTGTGGCATTGCCAGAGGTTATAATGGAACTACAAATACCTTACGTGCACATCACAAGGACATTTTCAGCATTTGGAGGGAAAGTCAATGCAATTAGAGGATTTTAGAGGGTTCGGTGATGGGGCAACAAAGGTTCAATTTCAAAGCATTATTTACTACAGTGTTGTTGGTTTGTTTCTAGGCAGTTACACGGATCACCTATGCTCACTAAATTCATAATATTGGTGAACAAAACACCTAGGGATAGAAAAGCAAGCCCAACTTACAGTCCCCCACACAAGCTAAAAATTCATGTCATTGACTAGAGTGACTGCAACTGATCAGGAGCTGAAAGAGGACAGGAAAATTTAGGAAGAAGGGCCCTTTCCCTCAGAGCTTGAAGGCTTCTCTGTAGCCTACGCCAACAAGTCTGGGGAAAAAAGGCTAACACTTTCAATATTTAAGCTTTTTGGGTACTTCCCATGGGAAGCTGTCCCTACCAAAGTGGCCATAGGCTGCAGTCCTCTGATAAATTGGCTTCTTCAGATCCAGATCCCTGGAATATACAAGTCCGTAACTTAATATGTAGCATTTAATTAAAATAAAGCAAAACAATCAGCAAGACTCATTTTCAAGAGTTCTGGCAAATGAGTTCAGTTCTCTGGGGTATGCTAGGAGAAAAGTTTGTAGCAAGTGTTACTTCCCTGGTGTCCAAAATCCTTGCACAGTCATTATTAGTAACTATAGTTCTTGTTTTTCCATCCTTGGCCCAACAAATATGAAAACTTGTCATTATTCTGAGAAATTTCAAGTGTTAAAAGCTCATCTGAGATCATGGAATACTTACCAAGGTCCCATGCCCACACCCTACCATGGTTATTTTCTTTGACAGCCTTGAACATCCCATTTATCTGTACTGCTTTAAGTAAAAAATCCCTAGGTAAGATGAGCACAAAGCCTAGTATCAAGTGTGGAGAACTTTCTAGGGTGATTAGTGTACACCAAAGAGCACTATCATTTTAGATTTTTCTTAATTTAAGCCTTACCCAAGGCATTTTAAAAGATAACATCAACACATTCTAGGAATTAAAATGCTCCCCACTCCCCACTTGTGGAATCTTCATACCTTTACCTTCTTAGATTTGCATATATTTCAAATACATGTATATATGTACACACCCACACCCTCAGTATTTTTCACTAGCAATAGGCTTTACCATCTTTACCTGACAATGACCCCAGGGCGGAGGTCAAAATTCTTCTTCACAATCTCTAATAGCTCTCTCTCACTCTTCTGAGAGGTGCCATAATGGAAAATGGAGATAGACAATGGATGAGAAACTCCAATAGCATAAGAGACCTATAAGGATTCAAATGTCATAAAAATCAGTCATCAAGAGACCCACACTTGTATAATAACACTGGTATAAAAAAAAAGGCAGGTTAACTATACTAAATGCCCTCCCACTTTTATAATCACTGCAGTTATATAAAAAAGTATATACCTGAACAAGAACCCTTCTGCACAGACCTCCTTTAACAAGGGATTTTGCCACCCAACGAGCAGCATAAGCAGCTGAACGGTCCACCTTGGTATAATCCTTTCCTGAAAAGGCACCTCCTCCGTGAGCTCCCCAACCACCGTAAGTGTCCACAATGATTTTCCGGCCAGTCAAACCAGCATCACCCTGAAATTACAGGATTTAAGTCACTTTATGCCTAATGCTTTCCAATAAGAGGTTTTACATCAGGATTGTTAAATGCCAGATTCTGCATCACTCAGGAAATGCCCCCAGAAGATTCATATGTAGGCTTCAAAGAAACCTAGAAAAAAGAATGGGCGTAGCCAAAATTTCTGCAAGCAAACATAGAAGATCCAAAAAAGGTAAACTGAATTGACATTACCTGAGGCCCACCAATGACAAATCTGCCACTTGGCTGGAGATGATAGATTGTATCCTCATCAAGATACTTGGCAGGTACAACAGCTTTGATTACTTTCTCCTTCAGGGCATCCCTCATCTCATCAAGACAGACTTCTTCATCATGCTGAACAGATATAACAATTGTGTGGACTCTGATGGGAAGCACAGCACCTCGATCCTGCATATACTGTACAGTCACCTTGAAGGCAATGCAAGTCATCAGGACATCAGTTTGCTAAACAGTTTCATTTTTGACTCTCTATGCTAAATTGCAATACAAGAGAAAATGCTATCCTTTCTTCAGTCAGCTTTAATTAAACTTTACTGATATTCTGTGCCAATACAATACATATAATCTAGCTTTATGATGGTCACTTACTTGAGTTTTAGAATCTGGGCGTAACCAAGGCAAAGTGCCATTGCGGCGTAGTTCAGCCAATTTGGCATTGAGCTTGTGTGCTAAGACAATGGTTAAAGGCATGCATTCCTCAGTTTCATCAGTGGCATAACCAAACATCAAACCCTATAAAAAAGGAGAAGTCACTAATGTGATGAATCTAATCTTCAGAATTTAATGTTAGAAAGGTGCATATATTATCTACCAAGATACCTGGTCTCCTGCACCAATGTCTTCCTCATTCCGGTCAAGATGAACACCTTGAGCAATATCTGGTGACTGTTGCTCCAACGCTACTAGCACATTACAAGTCTTGTAGTCAAACCCTATAAACAACAATGTCTTATTAAAAACAAAACAAAAAAAACCAAAAACGTCACAGGAATGCCTTCCATTTACAACAATTAAATGGAATTCTAAATGCTGCTAAGCAAATACAGTATCCTTCTGATTTCCAACAATTGGCATTATGCCATATTAGTATACCAGTTTTTCTGTGTAAAAGTGAGAATCCACTTCAGATTTCTTTTAGTTAGCAACAACAGGTACTAATGCAGGTCTTTTGTAAAAGCTAAGTGGTGTAATATGAACTTTCAGAAAGTGGGAGTGACTTCACTTTACATCATTTTGTCTTATTAAAGGTTTCTCGAGAACACTCTACTTTCAGATAGTGGAGGAAACCTATGTAATTAAAACAGTACTTTCAGAGAATAGGATAAGGCAGGAACAAAAGGGTAGTGAAATTATAAAGGAGTTAAAGATTATCAGGTACATTCTTGAAGATAGGGCTGAAGAAAACATCGGGAGAAATGAGGAGCTCAGATAAACTAAAACACACCTTTGGAAGAATCATCATATCCAATGTGTTTAATGGCTTCACGAACTACCTTCTGATAGTCAACAGCAGCTCTGGATGTAATTTCCCCAGCAAGAAGGATCATTCCAGTTTTAGCAACAGTTTCTAGTAAGAGAGAGGTTTACACTCAAACGTCACTTCTATAAAGTAATTTTCATGTTACCTTTCCATCGGTTGATAAGCAAGCAGTTTTGAACCTACCACAAGCCACTTTGGCATCAGGGTCCTGCTGAAGGTGTGCATCAAGGACAGCATCACTGATCTGGTCACAAATCTTGTCTGGAAAAAAAAATCCTTTAAATCTTTTGGAGAGCTTTTTGTTTAAAATTGTGCTAACACCCAGACAACATAAAATTTACTAATTTAATTAACTATTTTCAAGTGTACAATTCAATGGTATTCCAAGTATGGATATCTTAACGGCTACACCTAACTGCTAATTAAAACACTGCTTTACCAGAAACCATTTGCCTGAAGAATAAATGCTGGATATAGTGCTGCGTGTTACTTGAAAATCTGACACCATGGTCTTAATATAACTATATCACACAAGCTCACCAATTCATTTAAGTTAGCAAGCAGAACACCCAGCATGTTCAATACATTTAAACTCATTATATGTGTACTTTACACTTCACAGGGCTTGTCTCATCTCCAAAGTATTTCAGACATTTTGAAAAATTCAGTTCCCAGGCAAAAACAGTTTCCATTGTTAAAAGTACAACAGCCACATAACTGAAATGATTAATCAAGTGAAAGCAGATATTAATTTTCAAAGACAGTGATACATTTTATCACCTACATTAAAGTTTGCATTCTAACCAACCAGAAAAGTGAATTGGTTTTTTGTCAAATCAATTTCTCCCTCCCGACACTGAACACCAATTAGGGCAACGGGAAATAATGTCAATTAAAGAGTCAACAGAAGTAAGGACATTTTATGGACAAAAGGAGTGAAACAGCATCATTTGATTTTACCGTGGGTGTTGTACAGGAACAAGAGCTGAACAAACTGGGAAATGCCCAAATGTATTCTGAATCTTTTTTGATTTTTCTCCCCACTGTATTGTCATTAAAAATTGGGAGAGGGACTAACAGAAATAACACCCCAAATTATCATTTTCCTGGATTTTCTATATAACCATCTGAAACAAAACAAAATGTGTACTGCAGCAAACTCATAGACAAGACTCAAATGTATAAACTGTTATAAATGCTGTAACTTAAATGACTACTAAACAGAAGATGGGCCAAACACACGTTATCAAAGCTGGGGGAGAAAAACTAAAAAATGACATCACACCTCCACAACTAAACTTCACTCATCAGGACCTTGGAGTTTGTCTTCTATAGCACTAGGTTGCTTGTGGGGTTTCATCACAGGCATAGTAGACTTTACTAGAGTGCAATGCATTCTTAGGTCATCACACTAGATGGCTACCACATCATCGCGGTCATCGTAAGGGCCAAAGCAGCCTAGCAAAATAGTCTTTACTAGGTGACATTTTCAGGCTCAGATTGAAAGTCCTTGAAATAGCTTCACTCGTTCACGCGTAAATTGATCCCCATGATGGCGGACCAGTGGACAAAGCGCGCAGACGGAAACGTCAAGTACAACCTTGCCTAACAGTAAGCACCAAAGCCTTTACAAGGAATCCCAATGCAATGGCAGCAGCTTACACTTTATTGATGTCTCCTATCCTTTTCACACTTGCTCCAAATAAGGAACGCCTTCCCAACATCCGCTATATTTAGTGGGAGGCTGTCACCTTGAAGGCAAGGCCATATACTACTTAAGGGCACGGCCATATACTACTTAAGGGCATGTCCGTATCCTCCAGCGTGTAGTAATGACCCAAGCCAAGAAGAAAACAGTGGAAACATAAGATGCCCGAGGCGCAGGGCCCCTACTCCACAAACCCCAGCGGTCCCACGGCCCCGAAGCTCCCCATGCCCAGACGCCACATGCGGCAAACACGTGGTTGCGGCTGCAATGCGGGGCGCGCGCTCCCGGGGGCCGGACGCGAGCATTCGGGGCGAGGGGTCCACTATTCCAGCCGGCCGCATGGAGATAAGGAAAGAGTGCCGTTCCTGGATAGGGCACAAGCTGCTGCTGCGGCCCCCGCCCCTCTCACTTTCTGGAATCTTCCGCATGCCGCGGCGCGCGGCCGCATGGGAGGGGAGGCGAGAGGAAGGGGGAGGGGAGCGGCGGCCACGCGCTCGGCACCGGCGGCGCCACGAGGAAGGCGCGCAGCCGCACCTCTTCCCACCGCCCGCCGGGCGAGGACAACCAGCGTGAGGTGGGCACTGCTTTCCGCGGGTCCCGGCCGGCCACGCCCGGCCCGCCCCCCCCCCACTTCACGCCAGGCCCCGTCACCTGACCTGGGTGGCCTTCCCCCACAGACTCTGAGGTGAAGAGGAACGTGCCCTCCTCGATGAACGCCTCGTGGAAGCCGTTGAGCTGCCCGTTCATGTTGGTGTCGGTGACGGTGATGGAGAGTGAAAGCGGCGTTGAAGAGAGGACACCAAGAGGCGACGACTGCGAAATGCGCAAGCAGAAGACAGCGTCCCAGAGGACTGCAGCGGGCGGCGCGGGGCGAACGAGCCGGCGGGCGGCACGGCCCAGTATTTATATACAGCGCCTGCGTGCGCCCGGCTCGGGCCCCGCCCCCCAGCGCCGCGCGCCAATGCGCCACTAGCTGGGGATGGGAAGGAAGAGGCGGTGAGCCGGGGACGCGGGGGTGGGGGGAGCCCGGGCTGAACCACTCTGCGAGGCAGGGGGAGGAAATAGAGGTAACGCGCCCTCCTGCGAATAGTTCTTTAGGCTGTATTAAGCGTTTATAACAAGGGGTAAATGAAGACGCGAGTATGTTGGGTTCCTTTGTATTCGATAGGGAAGAAAAGCCACAAAGGTTTTATAGACCTGCTCCCGTTTCTGGAACATGGCACCTCCCTTCCGACCGTTGGCCCGCCTGTCTGGCAGCAAGGTTGCGTCCCCATGCGGTGGCCGCGGGAATCGGCGGAGGTTTTGTTCTCTGGCTCTCGCCGAGGGTCTTTCCGGCCGCCCTTCCTTGAGATGCCCGGGTGACCTGCAGCCAGGATCCCCCAGCCATGTGAAAGTGGCCATCTTGGCTTGTCAACGTACGATTCTTCGTTTGGCCTTACTCATCCGCGCGCTGCGCTGTGCAGACGGCTGGAAATGCTGAGGGGGGCCGCCTAGCTGCTAGTGATTTCTTGGCTAATGCCTCTGTGGTGAAAATGGACGAAAAGCAGAATAGGAGAGTTCTGCCACCGATTTAAATGATTGCCTTCTTTCTTACACCTCCAGCGCTAAAGTCTCTGAGAAAGGCCCTTACGCTTCGTTGACTACAGTGAAGGCCGAGCTGTGGCCCCGTCAGCTCAAGCCTTTTTTTGGTCTGAAAGGAGGCCGCTCACAAGGCTGACCTTGCTCTTGCTGACTTATGTGTTTAGGAAAGAAAAAATAAACGAGGTTTAGGGAATCATTTCAATCATCTGTTCGAGAGAGGAATATTTTTCTGGGGAGGATAATCCTTACATAGCCCTTGTATGTGATTAAGCAGATCTCTCGACAAAGTCGTTACGTGAAACTTTCACTTAAAAGGGTCCACCTGTGTTTGTCCCATTTTTTTCCCATTATAGGAATTATGGGGAGAGAAAAAAAAACAAAACTTGAGCCAACAAGGAGTAGGGAGTCAGAGCCAGTTTCACGGAGGCCCCATGGAAGGAACCCTCCAGTGGAAAAGAGGGCACTTGTCACTTCCTCTGGTACCGGAGCTGTGGACTGGGTGCAGGTTTGACAGGGGCTGTCCTGGTGGCCCCGAGCACATTAACATCGGGTTTAATAATGTTATTAGGGAATGGCCTGCTCCGAGGACAGGAGCAAGTTACACTGGGGAGATAAATGAGACTCCTTATAGAGGCTTCATATAATGCTTAGAGAATTAGGTAAATGCTGAAGAACAATCCTCAAGCGGTGTGCAGGAGGAAAGGTGGGAATTTGCCGAATGGGAAACAATGGAAGCCTTTGGACTGTGCTAGGTTGGCACTTTGACAAAGAAGTTAACAAGGCTCATCTCTAGACTTCATGACCACATCCATGGTCGCAAACAGGCAGCAAGAAAAGGTTAACTCACAGACTACATACACTATTTTTATTGTTTTTTTTTTTCAAACATCATGGGAAAATAACTGTGTAAAACTATTTTTTTTTTTAGTTTTATTTCATCTTTTTTTAAACAATGCCAATTTATTCATGATGAGTAATAAAACTGTCAACTGGAACAAAGTGCATGTGTAGGCTGGTCAGTGCATTATCTCCCAGCAGAAAAATCTATATGGGAAGCCAGAATATAATTAGAAGGTTGTTTGATTAATATGGAGTCAGAACAAAGGGATTAGTTAAATTCAATGATTAGCTCATTAAACTCTGATGCCCCTATGCTACCAACTCTGCAGTTGGGATTGTTCCTGCCAAGGAGATGAGAATCAGCTGTTCGTACTTGCTTACCTACTTTCTTGCTAACAGCATGTGTAATATACTGGTTAAGTGTAGGAGTTTTGGAGTCAAGCCTCAGACACTAACAGTGTTGAGCAAACAACCTTTCTACACCTCAATGTCCTCAAGTCTGTAAAATTAAGAAATAATAGTACCACCATAGGATTGCTTTGAGGATTAAATGAAATCATCCAAGTAAAGTCCTTAGCACAGTATCTACTACATAATAAGCTTTTTTTTTTTTTTAATGTTAGCTGTAAAAAAAAATAACCCTTCAATGGCTTCAAATGCTGTTAGGATGAAGACTAAAATCCCTACATACTGGTAGAGGCCTGAGTGTGACTGATTGACTGCTACTCCTTCACTTCATCTTCTGCTACTTTCTCCTTTCTTTCTTACTTTGCATCTCTTAATTAGTAACAGTTTAATTAGCGTTAAAACAGAACAAGGCACATTTTCATTGATTTTCTATTTTAACATTGTCTCTTCATCCCACAAATATTTATGAGCACCTCCATCAGGCAGACCCAAGGGTGGGTGCTATGACAGTCCTGGTCTCTGCCCACTCAGAACTCTAAATGGGGGGAGATGCCTGGCTAACTCCTCCTCATCCTGCCCACTCCAGCTCAGCTGCTACTTCCTGGATGAAGCCTTCACCTACACAGATTTCTCAAAGGGTCCTGTATTTTCCTCCATGGCACTAAGTCTATTTGAAGTTACAGATCTGGTGATTATTTAATTAATGTCTCCACTCCCAAACAGGTTTGTAAGCTCCATGACACTGAAAAGGTGGTCTGTTTCACTCAAGCTTTGTTGCTGAGTGCTGACACACAGAAGGTGTTTTAAGAATGAGGAGAGGAAGAGAGAAAAGGAGAAAGGGATGGAGACAAGAGAATGAATAAATATTAGGGATGGCAGAAGGAAGTGGGGAAGTGAGAAACCTTGGGGATTATGTAAAATCAATGAAAAGAGCTACTGCTTTATTTTAGTAACATAATTAATAAAACTGGGACTCTTAACTGGGCTACTCATTGCCATCCTGCTCTAAGAGGAATGAGATTTCTGATTCCATACATTAGTGCCCTAAGGGTAAAATAAACCAGGAGAGGTTATTGTTTTATTTCATATTTAACATAAATGATTTGTTGAATGTGAAATATTTTAAAGCACATAAAAAAATCTAATCACTGCCTTAAAGTTCCAAATTTGTCAACTCAAAGAACATGAATAGTCTCCTGAAAGAGGCAAGGTTGGGATTGGATAAACTGCTGTTTGTGACTCAGACAGCAAATATAAAAACTCTAGGTCCCATCAGTCTGCCAATCAAGAAGAGAGTTCCAATAAGTAAGAGAATGCATTTGCACTACAGGAAGCTATTGATTTAGTAGGAGAAAAGAGGAAGAGGAGACTAGACATACCGGAGAGCAATAGTGAATGTGTGGAGGTGTTGAGAAGGCAGATACTAGGCTGTGAATCTTACGAGTACCTTCTACGTGATGATGAGCCAAGAAGACAGACGTCTAGGCAGGCACCTCCAGAACTATGTCAGGCCTCACAGAGCCAGGGCTCAGGCATCTCAGCTGGCCTCAGGAGCAAGCTAGCCGTAGTGGGATCTGAAACAAGTACTATGGGAATCCCCTTAGTTTTGGCTTGGAATTAGTTCCTCTGTTTTTCTCTTCTGATACATAAATCTTGTGACAATCTCAATAAAGTAGTGAGGGATGGAAGAATGCAGAGGGTGCAATGAAGAAGACACTGAAGGAGAAAAAACAATGACAGTATGATTTATGGTGACAGCCACTGTTCTAATATCTATGCCACACAACAACCATAATGAGGCAGGCACCATTCTCTTCCTGCTTTACAAATTAAGACACTAACATGTAATTCTCCCAACTCACACATCTAATCAGTAGTGGAGCTGGGACTTGAGCCTGGGTCTGAGCTTTAAATTAATGCTCCTTGTTATAAGCCAAACAATATATACTTCACACTTTCAGATACTTAATGATAAAATTTGGTTTGTATCCTTCCATACCTTTTTCTATGAACATGCACATGCACATGCACATAGATACACACACACATACACACACACACACACACACACATTTTACCTGAAATGTGGATTTTTCTCTCAACAATTTTCATGGCCATTTCTCCTGATACTATCTAGAGATATAAATAATTTTTTTATTGTAAAATAGATGTAACAAAATTTACCATTCTAACCATTTTTAAGTGTATGTTTCTGCAGTATTAAGTACATTCACATTGTTCTACAAAAATCACTCTTTAGTAATAGTAAAATATGGTTACATGAATGTGTACACATGTCAAATCTATACACTAAGATTTGTGCCCTTTATTGTATGAACTTCAGTTTAAAATAAACAGTAAAATACTATAGTCTGGCCCACCATACAATTCATTCAGCCGTTGCCTTGTTGGTTGACTTTCGAGTTATTCCTCATTTTTGCCCTATGCACAGTGCTAATGAACCTAACATCTTTGAATGTATGCTTTGTAAACCAATGTTTTTATTTTTGTGGAAAAGATGTCCCAAAGTGGGATGCTAAGACAAAGGATACGTGCATTTTTACATTTGTAGTGACAGCCAGATTACTTTCCCAATGGCTGTCAGAAATCACATTCTTACCAGTAGGATTTGATATATTATTTCCCAACTCTCTCACCAGTGGAGAGTGTTATTACTCTTTTTAATCTTTGTCAGTATGACAAATGACAAATTGTGAGAAAATATGTTATACCTTTAGGAAATCTTTGCAAGCAAGATAGAATATCCACAAAGGAAAAGACTGATAGACTTAACTACATAAAAATGAAAAATTACTGTGTAAGTAAAATCTGAAGACAAAAACTAGGAGAAAACATTTGCAATATAAGACAGACAAAGGGTTAGTACCAATTGATTAGAAAAATGACAAACAGCCCAGTGAAAACCAGGAAAATATATGAGTATTTCACCAAGAAGGAAGCCAAATTGTCATATGAAAGTAGAAGTAAACATATGAAAAGATGCTCAATCCCACTGACAGGAAAATGTATCAAATTCATTTGTTTGGTGAATTTCGGAAAAACAACGTTCATGGATGAGGCAAGGGTAGAAGGAGGAATCAAAATTATAGGATGCTGCTTCTGTAGCTCCCCTATGAGTTTGGCCTCGGGTGGAGTGGAGCTTTCATGATTCTGAGGATGCTTCCCAGAATTTCTAATGGTGCCATTCATGGGGTGTACAGGATTTAAGCACTAGGACTCAAATCTCTTTCACCGAAGTATGGATGGAGTTCTCAGGACTGAGCTAAGTCTACCTGCAGCTGAAGGCTATGGCTCGGCAATCAGGGACTCCTGTAAGCGACTCACCAATTTTATTGCTGCTTAGTTCAGCCACTTGACTGTTGTCCAGAACCATGGCTCTATTTACTTGAATCATCAGTATCTTTTTTGGACAGGTTGAGTCATGCAGACTTACCACCTTCCACCCTTAACTTTCATCTGAGGGCTTGTGCCATTCCTCACAGACAGCATATAATTTGGGGACCTACCTCTTTAGACCCCACTCCAACACTTAAGAAAGGCACATACTAATCTCTTTAGACTGGTCTCAGTTTAGACCTCCCTGAACTCAGGGCCAAATCTGTCCTTGAATGATTGCCAGCTTTGCTCTACTAGTTCATGTACTTGCTTTTGCTTCCACCTCCAGCTTTGTTTGCTGGTACCTAGGCCTCCCTGACCTACCTATTCATCTCTGACTAGTTTCTCCTTTTTGCGGGGGCTCAGTGGATTTGGACTAACCTCCCACTAACTGATACCTGATTTGGCCTTGGGGTCCTTCCATTGTAAAGAGTCTCCACAGCCAAAGGAAGATCCTACCCCATACCCCGGAGTAACTGAGGACGTTGGGGTAGAAGTAGGAAGGAACCCCTGTGTTCTTTGTCTTGTCCAACTCTGCTAGGCAGGAGGACACAGCTGCCCCTAGGAAGGAGAACGGCTGATATATGGGACAATTGGGAGCATGTGACTCTGTCATCAATGGTGCTGCCTCGCAATTCAGAGACCTTACATGCTTGTCCAGGTTTTTGCCATTCTTTGATTTCTTCAGTCTTCCAGGCTACCCAGTTCTCCAGGAAGCCTGAGTAGTTGGTGTTCTTATGATCCTATTTAGCTGAAAAAGGCAATCCATGAAGGAGAAATGCAAAGGGATTTTGCTTTAACTGCACTCTGTGATTAAAGGCCTCACAGAGGAAGAGATTACAAACCAGGCCATGGTCAGAATTCAATTAGGTTGAGATCTTACTTGCTAGGGAGCAGAGTTCTAGTCTTTGCCCCAGACTTCATCTGGAGTGATGTTACCCTTTAGATGTAGTACCAGAGGGTTCACAACAAAAGTGGTCTGGCAGAGTGATCACCTAGTATGCCCTGCTGAAACAATCCTGTCCTCTGTACAGGTTCTGACATTGGTACCTTCCTTCCAGGCTTCCAGCTGGATTGGAGGCATCAACCCAACTCTCATGGATTAGGTTATATGCAGATTAAAACAGGCAGGATCTGTTTCTGGAATCCCTTGGCAACTGCAATCACAAGGATTCAGAGTAATGGGCAACCTTTCTCAAATAGGCTGTGGTTTCTGTCCTCATTGCACATTAGAATTAGTGAGAGCACTTTAAATCAACTGATACCTGGACCCCACCCTAGACTTATAAGAATCTCTGCGTTTGGGACAGGGCGTAGGTATGATTTAAAAACAACCAACGTGATTCTAATAAACA